AACCGCAAAAGTATATCTTTAATATCTTTAATTTGAAATTGCATATATATTTAATGTATGTGAAAATATTTGTATCAATTCAAGTCGAGCTTTCCCACACAAGATTCATCGAGTTATAAAATAATATAATTTAGCGAGCTGTCGTATTACTTTTTGTGCACATATAACCAGATGACTCGCATAATTCTTACATCGTAGCGATATGAGTTTGTCTTGTAAATATTGACTATGACTTGACATAGCAACGCACGGTCTCCGCGCATTTATAGGCAATTGCAATTGCAGGATTGGATAATTAAGTCGTAAAAAAGGTAGTTGAGCTTCGTCATCGGTCAACAACAATCGTAGATGAGCGCATGGAAAAATATCCGGCGGTACTGTTTTTTTTTACGGTGGCTTAATTCGAAGGTGCCAAAAAGCGTCTGCGAAACCGGAAATAAATACTGACACTGTGCAACGGAATGGGTGCGAGTTATCGCGGTCGTCTCGCCTGGGATTTTCCCGAACGTCTGTTTACCATTTATACACGTCTAAATCAGATTATTATTAATCGCGAGCGATTCATAAGGCAAAACTCGATAAGTCGGCCTATCCTTTATTTACATTGGTATTAATGAAGTCTTCTAATACAAAGAACTATTACCTTCATTAATTGATCTAACGATCACCCGGAGTGATTTCTACACCCTAGCAAGTTTCAATAAGTTGATATTATGAAAGTACAGAAGTTAACTTCTTTTTATTACACCCAGGCTTGGCTTATTTGACCATTTTGAGTAGTTTTCTATGGGAAATGTTTAGAAATGCCATTTCAACGAATTCTGAGATATATTCTGGTAATGGGACTTATTTTTGTGTAGATAGAACCGACAATGGGTCAAAAAGTTCTCTACCATTTTCCAATCTTCGCAATAGTTAACGAGTTATTAATTATAAAAAAATCGCCGTCTTAGCCTGGCCTATCCGTTCAATAGCGTGGGTCGTATTATAATAATATGTACATTAGGGTGTTTCTTCGAGGAAACAGGCCATAACCAGTGGCGCGTAATAACTTTTAGGCGAGAAAAATAATATGCGGGGACTAGACCAGGACTCGAACCTGCAGACTATAGAGATACCTACTCGCTGGGCGACTGTTCTTTCTACTAAATCCAGACCTACACGTGATACTCCTCTCGCGTGCCTATTCTATTCATAGTAAAGTCCACAGATTTCATAAATATTAGGATAAATTTTATAATTAATAACATTCTAAAAAAACTGCTATTCTTATGTGATTGACAGTTACTTCTCGAAAGAAAAACAATTGTTTCATGTGACACAAAACTACTAAAATACTAAATAATGAATGAGAATTATCAGAGATATGAGTAAAGAAGGATCCAAAAAATACAGGTCTAATGTAAGAGTCGCACGATTGCCGTGCGAGTTCAGACGCGTGTCGGGTGGTACAAGAATAAAAATGTTCTATCTCACGCACGAGCGACGCCAATAAGTCTCCTGTGAAGGTGAAAGGGAACTGCATGCTGAAAAGCTTACGAGGAAGAGAACCGGTTCTCTCTCTCGCGCGCGTTCGCAACGCGCGTTTTGCGAACGCACTTTTTGAGATTCTTAAAAGTTTATCTCTGAATCACACCGCGTGAGAAACGAGATTTCGGAAGAAGAATTCGGATTTGCTTTAGGATTTAACAAGTGTGCCTCGCTTCCGAATGTTATCGCTTTCAAATGATAATTAAAATCCCTGGTAGCACAGTGCATCGGCTAAACATTGGCTAAATATTGGTCCAATGTTGGTTATATCAGAAATGCATTGGTCGATATTGTCCAACGTAAAGCCAACATTGGCCATGAAACAAATGTAAATATTGCACAATAATAATTATATAATATTAGATTTATATTGCAAGTGCATTGGCCAATATCTAACAATGCAATAACAATATTGGCCTAATATTGACGCAATATTAGCCCAATATTGTTAAACAGACACATTGGCTAAATAAGAAAAAGCGTCCATCTTACGACGTTGGGCCAATATTGAAAATACTAGATTTACATTATTTTCCAATATTGCGCCAATATATTGGGGATTAGTGATCCCCCCTCTCATATTTTAGATACAACATTAACGTTGCATACGAATGAGTAATAAGTTTGATTGTAAATCAGAGTAATGAATAAAATACTTGACCTAGTTTTTCCCTTTTTCAAAAAAGGAAATTTTGTATAGTGAATTCAACGTTGAGTCAAAGAGATAGGCACAATGGGGAAAACGGTTAAAATTCGCCTGTCTCGAATAATATACATAATATATGTACATGTAAGCTGTGATATTACGTACCAATCGATTCCTGTAGTTTAGGGGGACATCGTGACTAATATTCCTGCGGAACTGCTTGACAGTTCTCGGCGACGCTGTGGTACGCATCTTTTATCTCGAGGCGTGTTCAATTTCTTCCCCGATGCACCACTACATTACTTGCCACGCGCTACGAATTGCCGATTGAACGACTCGGAGCTTTCGTTGGTCACGCAAACGCACTCACTTTGGCCATGTCAATAATAAGAAAAAGAAAAGCGATCCGAGTCGAACGGCTATGTACGAAAGTCGCGAGGAAGCAACGTTGCGTTCGTAAAATCCGTCGCGCGCATCTCACACGACGGGTCTCGAGGTACTGACTTTTAATCCCGCGAACAATAGCGACGAGGTACCTTTGCTCGGCGACACGTAAATTGGCGAAGCGTTATGCGGGGTCTACAATGCGAGTCGCAGAGTCGTAGTCGTAAGAACAATCGACTATAATTGGTCAATTCTTATGTATCTAATGGAATTGACCGATCACAGTCAATTATTCTTACGACTACGATTCTGCGACTCGCATTGTAGACCCCACATTAGTCCCAGTCTACAATAGAGATTTAAACTCTAAGCCTTAAGAAATTGACTAATCACAGCTGCGTATTCTACTCATACTTGACCGTGATTGGTCCATTTCTTAAAGCTTAGAGCTTAAATCATCTATTGTAGACTGGGACTTGGAGACATCAATGCGCGTAATGCGGGATCTACGATGATAGTCGCAGAGTCGCAGTCGTAAGAATAATCGACTGTAATTGGTCGATTCTTGTGTGTCTAACGGAATTGTGTGTGTGATCAATCGCAGTCGATTATTCTTACGACTACGACTCTGCGACTCGCATTGTAGACCCCGCATAATACCTCGCTGCGAGATTACTTTATTACGTCACATAATAGACGCGCGCGCGGATGCTCGCACATGCAAACGTACGCCTGGCAGCCGCGTGCACGGTACACATCGGGCACTCTTAAGGTACGTATAGGAAGCGCGTTCTTAGCGCTGAAAAGCGTCTTCCATCTTTGTTCGACACGTAGTGAGTGACGAAGATGGACTGGTGCTTTCTAGTGTCTCCTCAAACGTAACCCTAGCAGCCACGCGCAACTGAATTTTCCCTCTCACTACGCCTACACGCGTTTCATGTGCCGAGCGTTCGCGAAATTCGATAATAACGGTCCGTCCTTCGCGCGCACAATAGACTGCAGACGCCAGCAGTCAATCACTTCACACCAAGTCGCCGAGCGATCGAGCGTCGCGATTTGAATATTCCGCGTTAACGAAAAACGTAAAATCAAAATTTCCAGTTTCTATGAATATCGCTAGAAGATTGCTACTGGTAGGGGGTAGCTACTCAGATGACTCGTGCTTCTAGTGACGACGCTTGCTCTCCACCCTTCGAACGGAATCTTAACGCGAGTTGGACGATCGCCCGTTATCCAAACGAGAGGAACGAACGATTTCGTCTTTTCGACGTGACCGCCGGCATCGCACTGAAGCTGGCCGAGCTCCATTCTGTTCTCGCGGCTCACTTCGCGTTGAAGCAATGTACGTTTGAAAAGGCTAGGCCTCGGACTCATTGGCGCCCGCTCAACGATTACGAACGTCGCCTACGTCGATATCGACGCGGTCGGCATGCGAACGCGAATAATTAGAAAGAGGCATACGGCACATTTACAAACAAGTGAAAATATTCTTCCGGTTAAATTGCTACAAGAAATAATCAGCGGTATTTTCTGAACACGCAATTCGTGTCTCAATACGTAGGCGGCAGTTTCTATCCGTCAGCGTGCTTTCACACGCAGCTAACCTGTGTAAAGCGTAACTAAAGCAACTAATAGTGAATTAGAGTTTCTCGTATACGCATAGGAATCATTGATGCCTTCCCACATGAATTTGTGCACATATCAACACACTTAACTAGAGTTCAATCAACTCCCTATCTTTTTCTATCTTTTTCTCTAAGAAGAGACAGAGAATCAATTAACCGTCAGTTAGCAGTTAACCGACCTTTGCGAAACTGGCCCTTACACATTTTGGAACGCATCCCAAGTAGAACATATTAGTCACGAAAACATCAAGATGACATAATTTTTTACATCATTTTTTATGCATCATGTTGACGTCAAAATAGCCCACCGAGAGCACCTATTTGTGACATCATTGAGATATCAAAATGGTAAAATGGTAAAAATGATCTTGTTTTACAAAGCAAAGTTAATTAAATATTATGCATTAAAAATAAATTGAAGTAATATAAGATAAACGTAATATATGACTGATAGTGTAATCTGTAATAATATATTATTGTACACATCACGAATATCATGAAACAGCGTGTCATAAATCAGTCATTGCAAAGTAAATCTTGATGTCCATCATTTTATAACGTGAAATTCATCATTTTAATGTCACATTGACGTTTTTGTAATTAACTTGTTCTACTTGGGATGTACGCTCGATGCGTGTTAAAGTTTCACGCTTGATTGGAATACATTGTCGTACGTTTCGAATACATTTTCAACCATCTTCAGCGTGATCATTTTCTGAGAGCCCCTACAGAGAATTTCTGCAGCACAGAGCGAGCTTCTGAGCCTCCGTGTTTCTACGGAGTGAGTTTTACGACACTTCTAATTTCTGTTACAGGAATCCCCAGGATCCCCCGCGTCACCAGGCCCTGCCACATCATCAGCGGCAGGATGTAAACCATACCACAACACCACCGCTGGCACGACCTGCCTCAACCACGACCAATGCCGAAAACATCCCAGAAGATCAGTCTCTACCTTCTACATCTACATTTGTGCCTGCGACGAGGGCGTCGGGAAACTCTGGGGTATCATACTCTTCTTGGCGTTTAATCAAGATAGAGTTTGAGAAAAGCGCTAGGGATCCCAGGATAGGTAAAGGGGTACGTATCCTGGAAAAAGGGATTCAACCGGACTCCGCGCCTAAAAGGATTATGAAGAGTACATCAACACAGACCACTCCAGAGAAGCTGTTAACCGCCTGCCCGCAGACTATAAATACACCCAGCCTGACGTGTATCTCGCCATAGTCTCCACTACCCGTTACACCAGTACACTGAGAAAAATTTCCATCGGATAAACCAATTAAATAGCGTTTCCGATGGTTAATTTTTCCGATTACGTGTTCCGATTAAATTATGGATACATCCGATAAAATTTATCCGATGAAATACAGTTACCGGTGAAATTTGATTGGAAAGCCGATCATATTTTTCATCGGGTATACAATTTAATTGGATATATCCGTTTGTTATTATGTAATTGGATTATCCGATTATATTTAATTGGTTATTTTTCTCAGTGTACGATATCCCCGAACACCAGGACGAACGGACCAAAGGCACTCCTCCTAAGAAGAAGCGTCGAGCACTCTTTTGAGGATATTATCAGTTTTCACCAATCTATTATTTTTAATCTTCTTAATTATTATTTTATATTTTTTATATATTAATTTATTATATATTAATTTTTAATTATTATATTACCGGACTTTACAACCTTGTTCAGGCTCTGAGCCCCTTCTATTATTCTTTGATTTTATTATACGAGCCATTGATTAATTATATTAATTAATATAAATTATATTAATTATATTAATTATAAAAAGTCAAAGAATAAAAGAGCTGGAAGCCTTGACTCGGTGTTAGTGTCAAATTAATAAAAGTTTCGTATATTTAGAACAAACGTTTCGGTCTTACAATTAGATTTGCAGCTACCGATTGTATGTACACCCACAGAAAACATTTCCAATGCTATTACACTTGAATATATCATAAAATAGGATCGATATAGCGCCAGTCGTATTTATTATATGTAGATAAAGGAATATTTTCATCTTAAATGAAAAATTCTAAAATCTCGAATAAAATGATAGTATTGTCTTTTGTCGAATATCGCGGTGCCAACTTCGTACGTTGTAAGATGGAGGGAGAATTTATTCTAAACGCAAGAATATATAAACTTACATTTATACATATAAGGTACTCTTGTATCTCAATATAGTAAGTCAATCTTTTTTTCGACAGAGGAGAATAAGAATTATTAATTTTATTTCGATATTGTCTTATTTTTATACTAAATGAGGTTGCGAGAAATATAAGTGCGTCAAAAATATTTTTTATCTCAGTAACGGAAATCCTTACTGAGGGTGTAGCTACACTAAATCGACAAAGGCTCGAAAGACCATGCAAGACGACTTGCACAATTAACGACCATTAATAAATTAACAATTCGACTCACCGAAGCCGTGGCTGCTGCGCTCCTCGCGGTTTCGGTTCCTCGCCAAAGCCCCGACGTAAAAAGTCATGGAGCTCATGCAATACAAACGTTGGATCCGTGTAGATGTGTGTGTGTACGTACGTATGTGTGTGTGGCCGGCAAGAAAGCTCGTGCTCCGGACCAACGGAAACTCCGATCGCACAATCAGGCGGGCGAAGAAACTCGGAATCCGCGGACTAGAGAGACCGTACTCGGGGTCTGTTCTCTTCGAGCACTCGGTATAAAGTGACCCGACACCTGGGTCGCGCGTGCTGTCCAGAAAAAAAGCACGAGCGAGTACATGTTTTTTCGACGAGGGTCGCCGGGCGGTCGTCTACAACAGCACCGATCAACGGGTCGCGATTCAAAAAAATTACTGGTCAACCGTGCTACCGCGATCCGCCGACATTTTACTAAAGTCAACGGCACACGATACTACAATATTTTTCCTCACTAAATTACTTACGGGAGTCATTTAGAAACACGGCGGGTCTGGAAAGTCCAGCGATGGCGTCCGGCGTCCGGCGTCCGGCGTCGGCGTCCAGCGTCTATTGGCTCCTGCCCACTGGACGCGGTAACGTTGCCGCGTCCAGTGGGCAGGAGCCATATCACATTCAGCGCCGATGTCCCGCACGTTGTCGGTTGCCGCGAGAAGAAACGGCACGTTCGGCGCACATTTAGTTCGCGAATCACCGAATAATCGAACTACTTTTGACGCGCGAGAAGGAAATCCGCGCGAGCGACGGAGAGAGACGCGAACAGGTACGGACGGGAATCGCCTAGTGCGCGCGACGCGCGGTCGAGCCGCCGACCGCCGCACGGCGAGCCGCGGCGCGCGATTGGCCGCGCGCGCGGCGAGCCCCCCGGATCCAGCCAGTCGCGCTCGCCGGCTGACGGCCGGCGGCGGCTCGAGCCGCCGCAGCATCGCGTGCCCTTGGCTGTACGCTGAGTCGCTGAGTCGCGTAAACAACGTTTTTGTTACCTTCCGCTTCAGTTGGCGCGTGATTCTCAATTGTTTTTTCCTTTTTTCGTTGGGCGTTTCAACGTACGTGCCGACTGTGCCGAGATGAATCGGGAGTCATTCGCCCGCGGGATCTCGAGTCGACGGGACGCGTTTCGCGCGGCGCACGTCCGGTCGAGCCGCCGAACGCCATTCTCTCGGCCAATCGCTCTCGACGTCTCTCAGCCGGCGGTGTAACCGAGACTCTCAAGACTCTGAAACAACGTTTGTTACTTTCCGCGCCGGTTGTCAAGCGATACCGTGGACACTGCTCTCTCGTTCGGCGTGCGACGTACCTGTGCGACGAAGTGACTCGGCGCCGGCGGCCGGTTAATTCGCCCGAAGATTCTCGCGCGGACAGGAAGCGTCCGCGAGTTACTACGCGCGCCGCGCCGCGCCATTTTCCGCGTGTGGTTGGCACCAGTGTTCCTCTTTCCGCGGGAACGCGCGGGAATCGTCGGATACGCGCGCAACGATCCGCGAGTGTATCAAGTTTGTCGGAACGGACGCGTAGCGGGTGTGTCGGTTACGGATCCGGGAGGCAGTGATCGATCGCGAGAAAAAGGACGAAGGGCGGATGTGTCGCGCGATCCACTCGAGGCGGAGCCGTCGGGACGAAGTTACGGGAATCGCGAAGTGTTTCGTTGCGCCATTCGCGGCCGGTTGCTCGCTGCGCCGTGTCTGGATTTGAGTATGGCCGTTTCTCTCGTGCGTCGTCGCGTTCCGTGTCGATTGACAATTGATCTCCGATTCTTGGCGAGTGCGCGAGTGAGTGTTGGTGCTGTGCTAGTGTTGTGCCTCGAAGGGAACCAGCGCAGCCGGCTATCGAGGCGGAGCCGTCGAGACGAAGTTACGGGAATCGCGAACTGTTTCGTTGCGCCATTCGCGGCCGGTTGCTCGCTGCGCCGTTTCTCTCGTGCGTCGTCGCGTTCCGTGTCGATTGACAATCGATCTCCGATTCTTGGCGAGCGCGCGAGTGAGTGTGAGGGTGCTTTCACATGGAGCGTAAGTTGCGTAGCGTAACCTGCGTATCGCCAATCACAGGACTAGTTCAACGGAATTATTGAAACGGTTCTATCAGCATGATCCTGTGATTGGTGATACGCAGGTTACGCTACGCAATTTACGCTCCATGTGAAAGCACCCTCAGTGTTGTGCTAGTGTTGTGCCTCGAAGGGAACCAGCGCAGCCGGCTATCCGAGAGAACAGCCTGAGTGGAGGAGGAGGGGCCTGAGCAGGGGCATCAGGCATCGGCGGAGCAACCTTGCGGTAATTATCTTTCATTTTGTGCAAACGCGATCTTTTTCGCCGTTTTTTTTTTCTTCGAATCATATTGCACCATAACTTACCAATTAGAGAGAAAGAAGTAATTTGAGATTACATTAAAGTTCGTGAATTTTTTTCGAAAGACGTTGAATTATTTAAGCGGAAATATTTTATTGATTAGAAAGTTCGTTACGCGTAAGAAGTATATTTTGAAACTTTGTCTTTTTAACATTACTTGAATATTAATTTTATGTTTGTGCATTACAGAATCATCGTAGCGACGTTGCAGCTACAACTCCGCTGTTGCGCGTCAGTGTCGGTGAGTGATAAATTAATTTTGATTATTGCGGTAATGCACTGAAAAAAATTTCTGGTTGAATATGGACGAATCAGATAATTCCTTTAGGATTTACCAGAATTTCTGTAGGATTACAGGAATTCTGGTAAATCCTAAAGGAATTATATGATTCGTCCATATTTAACCAGAAATTTTTTTCAGTGTGGGGTTGAGGTGATAAACGGATCTGTTGTAGATTTGAGGCAAGGCCTATGCGATTTGTGGAGGTTTAAAAAATATATAAAGTAACTACTAAAGTAACTTAATTACTAGTTATCGAAAAAATGTAGCCGACAATGAATTCAGTTACAGTCAAGGGCGTCCGGAGGGGGGGGGGCAAGATGGGGCATCTGCCCCCCCCCCTTAGAATTTGGAATCAGCAAAAAATTTGGCCTATTTGGCATACCTTGTCGCGGTGAGAAAGCTATTACCAAAAGGTGTACATATATTTGAAATCATATAAGTATTCTGGGAGTAATATTTTAACAATATAAATGATGCCCCCCCCTGGAAAAAATTCTGCGGACGCCCTTGGTTACAGTTACAGATAAAGAGGAAGTAACGAAGTTAAATTAGAGTTACTAAAAAGAAGTAACTGTAAAGGCTGGTCTACAACACATGGAGTAAGCTGGAGTAAGGAAATAAATCCATTTTATTTCTTACTCCTACTTCAGTATAGGTTTACTCTCGGTGAATCAAAATGCCATCAATCAGTGTTACAAATATTTTAAAAACCACGCCCGTATCTTAGCTTCCTTACACCAAAAGCTAGAAGTTATGGCTCTCTCTCAAGCCCGCTGCAGACGATGCTATTTTTCCTGCTGGATTGCTTGCAATCTAATAAATTACTATCGTTGCACCACTCAGCACTCAGAATTTCTAGTAATTTACTAAATCGCAAGCAATCCAGCAGCAAAAATAGCATCGTCTGCAGCGGGCTTTACTCTTTACTCCAAGCTTACTCCGCGTATTGTAGACGACGCACAACTGTAACTTCGTTACAAGTAACGAGTTACTTCCCAACCCTGATAAGAATTGACTGTAAACAAGTCTTAGCGTGCACTCAGTGCGCACTAAATTTATTCGAGATTCATACTTTATTTTATTGTAATTTATCGATATCAGGACTGCAAATGCTAACTAGTCGCGATCGTCGACGACTTTTAGCAAATCGGATGATGATTTTGGAGAACGTGTTTTAGTCGGCCTTTATTTTTCAAAGATAGACCGACAT